TATCCCTACGGTATGAAGGCATATAAGCTTTATAATCTTCATACAAATGTCACATTTTATTCTAGAGATGTTAATTTTCATGAAGTATCTTTCCCTTTCATTATCCTAATTTTCTTCAATCCTTATCCTATTTTCAAGATCCTCACAGTCTCATCAGAATATCTTTACCTCTCAGTCCCCTACCTATCATGAAGTATCTTATTCCTTCTTGAACCTTGATATAGGTACTAACTCCTTCTCAATTCCACATACCTCCAATTCTAACCAGTCTCCCAGAATCACTCAGCCTATAATTCCATCATCTCCTTTACCTCCAGCCTTTGTTCGATGGTAAAAAAGAATTATCAAACCACCTTCTTATCTCTTGGATTACCACTGCAATCTTGTTTCACAAGCGCCTATCTCCCAGTCAGATTCTATGGCAAAAGGTCACTTTATAGGTAAGTAGTACCCCATCTCAGATTACCTGGATTATGCTAAGCTATCGCCGACACATAGACACTATGCTTTGGGTTTGTCTATCTCTTTTGAACCACAGTTATACATTGAAGCTTTTAAACATCCAGACTGGTGTACTTCCATGGATTTGGAGTATCAGGCTCTTGTTTCGAACCATACTTGGGATTTTGTCAAACTTCCTACTCACAAGACACCTGTAGCATGTAAATGGGTGTACAAAGTCAAACTTCGATCTGATGGCACTGAAGAACCAAAGAAGGCTCGTTTGGTTGCCAAAGGTTTCATACAGCAATCCGATTTAGATTATGAGGAAACTTTCTCTCCTGTTGCTAAGTTAGTGACTGTCAAAACCTTGTTGGCTGTGGCTGGTCAATTACAGTGGCACTTACATCAGTTAGATATCAATAACGCTTTTCTCCATGGTGAATTGGATGAGGAAGTATACATGTTGCCTCCTCCTGGTTACGAGCAGCAGGGGGAGTCCGGTGAGCGTTTAGTTTGTAAGCTAAACAAGTCTATCTACGACCTTAAACAGGCCTCCAGACAGTGGAATGCCAAGCTCACTTCACACATTTTATCACAAGGTTTAAAACAATCGAAAGCAGATTATTCCTTGTTTACCAAAAGTAATAGCTGTTATTTTACTGTATTGTTGGTTTATGTAGACGAGATCATAATTGGTAGGAATGATTTGCCATACATTGATTGTTTTAAGAAGGAGCTTAATGATCAGTTCAAGCTGAAAGACTTAGGAACTCTTAAATTTTTCCTTGGTCTTGAAATTGCAAGAAGTGAAAAGGGTATTTCTGTGTGCCAAAGAAAGTATGATTAGAGGTCTTTTAGATGGGGGTTCCCTGGGAGCTAAACCTGCCTCTAATCCACTACTACATAATGTGAAATTGAATAAAGATGAAGGGGTCAAAGTACAGGATGCTAGTGAGTATAGAAGGCTGGTAGGAAGAATACTTTATCTCACTATAATGAGGCCTGATCTAGCTTATGTTGTGCAAGTGTTAAGCCAATACTTACAGTCTCCAAAGCAGCCTCACATGGACGCTGCTCACCATATTCTGGGGTATCTAAAGAAGACTCCAGGACAAGGTTTATTCTTTGATAGCAAACCTGACTTACATCTCAAAGGTTACTGCGATGCTGTCTGGGCAGCATGTTCAAACACTAGGAGATCCATCATTGGATATTGCATCTTCTTAGGAAACTCACTGATATCGTGGAAATAAAAAAAACAGCATACCTTTTCAAGGTCTTCTGCTGAGGCCAAATATAAATTGATGGCAGCAGCTGTATGTGAAATAAGCTGGCTTAAGAATCAGCTAAATGATTTGGGCATTGAACAGAACAAGGCATCCCTACTGTTTTGCGACAATCAATCCACCGTTCACATAGCTAGAAACCCTGTTTTTCACGAGAGGACAAAGTACATCGAAATTGACTGCCATCTGGTAAGAGACAAGGCGCAAGCAGGTGAAATAAAAATGCTATACATTGACTCGCAAAATGAGGTTGCAGATCTGATGACTAAAGCTTTAGGTGGAACACAATTTAAACACTTGTACAAGATGAGAGTGTTGAACATTTACTCCTCATCTTGAGGGAGAGTGTTGAGCTCAATATTAGCCAAGGTTATTTATGTCATTATGTAAATATTCCATCATAGAATAGGCGTGACTTTGTTAGTTGAACTTGTATATAAGAGGACGCTGTAATCATTTGGATCTATGAAAATTCATTTTCAACCATTTCTCCCGCCAACTCTTCTCCTCACATTTGACATCCCTCTGCAACTCTTCATATTTATTTGATTTTCAGCCAATTGGAATTGAAGTTTGACAACGATCTATCTAAAGGAATTTAGTTAATATTGTTGGAAAACTACTAATCATATTTTTCTGTTGATTTTTAATGGTCAAAAATGTCAAAACGAAGTGAGAAGAATACGGGCGAAACATGGGCTTATAAGACATTTTTATAACTAGTCTTGTTCACATCCGTCCTCCTGAGTAGAATGATGGGCTCTTAGGAATATAAGTGGGCATGAATGGAGCTTCTAGGACTATTTTTGGCTGGTGTTTTATCTCAAGGGACTGGTGCTATTGTGGACTCCATTTTTTCCAAAACTAAAACAAACTTTGGTTGACTACAAAATTGGAGAAACTATTACATTGGATGCACAGACTTTTCTTTATCTTTCAATGTGGAAATTGTGCAAGTTTTTCCACATATGAATGCATTCTTCTAATAATCCAAGAGAAATAATTAGCTTTTAGAGGTTTCAAAGTCCACTAATACCCCCCACATTTTCTAGTAGAATGTGGAGATTTTCTTAAGAAAATAAAAGTATCTTAAAAAACTCCAAATCCTAAACTATTTGTCTTGTGTAAGTCTAAATATTGCTTGAATTTCCGTTTACAGAGGAATTTTTTTTTTTTTTTCCAGTCGGAATAAAGTTTTTTATGCTTACTAAGAACACTTAATTTAAACTATTTAGATTAATGTGATACCATTTGGTATATTTGAAAAAATAAAAGTTAGATTAACTCGATATATCAATTCTAGCTATCAAAGACAGACTAGAATCGACTAGTTCTTGCGTTTAATAACCAAAATCTATTTTAATTTAAGCAAAACAAACCCAGTCCTATCCAGGTGCTTCAATATTACTCAATTTTCATTCAAAGGGAATTTAATGAAATTGGTTTTGGTTTATGCTCATTGCCTGGTTTCCTCAATATTCAACTCATTCAAGCTATCTTTGATATACCTGTGGGTGTGTATATATGAAATAAAAGCTTCGTGCAAGATAAGTGTACAAGGGTTATTTTTGGTTATGTGTTGGTTGGGGTTTTATCTCAAGAAACCGGTGCTATTGTAGAATCCATTTTTCCAAAAATAAAACAAACTTTGCTTGACTACCAAACAAGAGAAATTACTTGCATAGACTTTTCTTTATCTATCCATGTCGAAATTGTGCAAGTTTTTCCACTAATGAAAGTTACAGTCTTCCAATAATTCAAAAGAAATAAATAACTTTAAGAGAGTTCGAAGTTCACTACTACCCATCATTTTCTGGCTGTAATAGCCGGCTGTTATGGTTTGCTGTTAACAACAACAGCCGGCTGTTACGATGACCATGATATGTAGATGAATTTTTTTCTTGTTTATGCTTAAAAAATTATAAATCTGTTAAATTTTTTTAACTATATGTTAATCTATATAGAAATAATATTTATCAATAAAAAAAAGTATGCTAATTTAGCGAAAAAAAAAAATTAAACATGTTACACTTACCTATTCGAAATGATAGACAAAAAAATAAAAAATTTCTTGTTCAGTGTTTGATCAAATTTTGATATTTTGAGGTTGAAACAGAAGAAAAATGAGAGAGTTTTTAACTGTGTTGGAATAAATAGGTAAGAAAAGTTGGCTGATTTCGAAATTTTACGTGGAAAGTGTTTAGTTTTTACTTGTTAAATAAAATGGTAGTATTGTCTTTT